AGATTGCATGTGTATGTATATTTGTGTATGTGATTGCATATTTGCATGATTGCATACACACATATTTGTGTGTAGGTGCATGTGTGTGTTTCTATGTGTGTGTGATTGCTCTGTGTATGTATGTGCATGTGTGTGTATTTGTGTGTGTTTGTATATTTATGTGAGTTATTGCACTCGTGTTTGTATATTTGTGTGTGTGATTGCATGTATGTGTATTTGTATATTTGTGTGTGTGATTACATGTGTCTCTGTATGTATTTGTGTGTGTGATTGCATGTGCATCAGTCTTTGTATATTTGTGTGTGTGGATTGTGTGTGTGTGAGTGTGCATGGATGGATTTGAACCTGCGGGGGAGGCCTTGCTGGCTGGTGGTTGTATGCTAGAGTTGTCTGGAGCCAGACTGCCTGGAATCAAATACTTATTCCACTACCTACTGGCGGTAGGAGATTGGGAAAACGGCTTGATTACTCACTTCCTCACTTTCCCCAGCTGTTAAATGGGGATATTCTGACCTACCCGATAGGGTTATTGTGAAGACTAATTGAATTAATTAATAATTATACATTACTTGGAACAGGATGCTGCATATAGTAAATGCTCAAAATAAAAATGAGTTAACTATTACTTACTGAGAGACATCAGGAAGTTGATGCAGACAACTGGCCACTAAGAATTAAAGCTTAAACCAGACAGCCAGCTGAACAATCGCCAAGGGAAATAATGTCATAAGCTCTGTCGGGCAGGCAGTATCATGAGATGAGACCAGGCAATAGAAAATGCCAATGTTAAGCGCACTCCCCTCAGGGAAAAAGGAAGAAGGGAAAAGAGATGGTGACATTATAACAGGTTGAAGTTGACAAGGGCTGAAGAGTTTCCTTAACACTGTGTGAATGGAGTTGGTTGCTTAGACCCGTTTTAAGTGTCAGCTGGTGTGCGTAGCAGGGAATTGACTGTAAGATGTGGATGTGACTTATAGGCCTGAGGGCAGTGGGCAGCTGGGCCTCAGGAGAGACTGAGGCAGGGCGCTGGGAGGCTGCTGGGATTCGTGGGGCGCTCTCTCCTGTCTTCCCTGCTTCTCTTTCTATTTCTTTTTCAGGGTTCTCACTCTGTAGGTGACCTCCGCTTGTCCTTAGTTGATTGGATGGGTGGAAGTCGGCCCCAGCAGCTCTCAGTCCGTGTGCTATTGCTGTGCCATATGGTGATGCTCACGTTTTTTGCCCTCACCCACAGGCCCTCATCATTGGCAGAGGAGATGGGAGTTACGTGGTATCAACAGGGCATGAGGAAGTGTTATGAGTCATGTATGAGTCATGTAATAGCAGCACCACAGCAGAGAGCCTATCACACTTCTCGGAGTGCCTCCAAGGAGCACTGTTCACATGGCTTACGATTGTAGCCTCAACAGTAACACCCACCCTTTATTTTATTATTTTATTTATTTGGTAGAGATGAGGTCTCACTATGTTGCCGAGCCTGGTCTTGAACTCTGGGCCTCAAGTGATCCTCCCACCTCAGCCTCCCAAAGTGCTGAGATTACAGGTGCGAGCCACTGTGCTTGGCCCTTTCCTCCTTATTTGGAGCCAGTAGGTGTTTAAATGAGTATTCCATAACAAATAAATTTCTTAAAGATACCGCTTCCACTTTGGAGGTAACACTGCTTAATTAAGCAGGCCAGTTCTGTGGAAGACAAACTTGCCAACGTGTCTTTTGCATTTCTTCACTTTCCTAAAAGTACATTAAAGAAAAATAAAGCTGCAGGTGTGTCTTTCAGATGAAGAAGTTATCTGATCTCTAATGGGAGGTTCCGGAGAGGGTATCCACCTGCCTGTGACCGAGGCAAAGTGAACCGAGGCACTCACTCCTTGTCACATGCCTTCTGGTGTCTTAGATTTTGTGATGTCTTCTTCATCCAACTGATATGACAGGTTTCTCAGCTTATGGTCACATAGGGACTTCAGTTTTTGAGTGAGTGAGGTTTCTGGTGGAATGGCTCCATAATTTGTGATCACATGGCAACAGTGGGATTTATTTTTCTGGCTAGTTGCTCCTTCTATAAACAGACAAAATAATATATGGTCTTGTCCACCTCATTTTTACTTGAGTATGTTCTAAAAGGAAAAAGTAAGAAACTTCAAAAAACATATTTTCATCACCTCCCCTTCTGATGAGGATTACACGGTATAGCCAGGTGGTCGGCTTCAGTATTACATTATGATAACATCTGCATTTCTCTTTCATATTCAGCATGCATCTCTTACTGAATGTGCTAGGAATATGAGAGCTGCAACTATAAAGTTTTAATGCTCAATTGAGAACGTAATTTTCTTTCTAGGATCGTAGAAGAAAAATACGACAGCCCTTAAAAATCACCAATAGATCCATAAAGATTTAGAAATCTGTCTTTTGATGATGTAGGAATCAGCAGTGAAGTGATGGCATGACTGACACTCATGGTCACGTCTTGTTGACACCCCTTTGTGTTGCTTTACCCATCATGCCAATGATTAGCATGGTGACTGGTGAGTAATCAGTACTTACCGTGTTTGCTGATTAATTATTATTATTATTTTTGTTTTTGAAATGGAGTTTTGCTCTTATCGCCCAGGCTGGAGCGCAATGGCATGATCTTGGCTCACTGCAACCTCTGCCTCCCGTGTTCAAATGATTTTCTGGTCTCCACCTCCTGAAGCAGCTGGGATTAAAGGCGCCCACCACCACACACAGCTTATTGTATTTTTAGTAGAGACAGGGTTTTGCCACGTTGGCCAGGCTTGTGTCCGACCTCAGGTGATCCACCTGCCTTGGCCTCCCAAAGTGCTGGGATTATAGGTGTGAGCCAACATGCCTGGCCTTATTGATGATTAACCAGCTTCTGTCACTACCTATCAGTATATTACCTTTAAGTCTCCATCTTTTTATTTCTCCGCACTGGTTTTCCATTGAGGTTTCACCCAAAAGATAAAGGAGAGATGAGGTCTGGGGTTAAAGCAACAAAAGTAGAAAGAAGGTGAAGCTAGAAGGAAAGATCAACTTTCTACCCAGCCGGGGAGACTGTGCCTGTCTCTGGGTTTCCATTTCTACACCTTAAAGATTTAGTAACAGATAACCGTAGAGGATTGTTCTAAATTTCCCTTTCAGTTTCAACATTTCTGCCAGTGATGAGGCCAGAGTATATGAGATATGGTTCTGCTCATGATCAGGTATTCTGAGGACACATTTTACCTTCCTTCTTGGCTCCTTTTAATATGTGGTATCATGGTGTCTTGATAGATCCCCTAATATCTTTGAGCTGAAACATGGCCTCATTTATTGTATTTCTGAACCAGAATTTATTGTGTAGCCACATGTTATTGCTGCTATGGATATTTCTACCCCCGAAAGACGGATTTATAGTTATAAGAATGTTCTCCCCAAAGTCTCTTTTAGGTGAAAGAGCTTTGCTTCATTAAGATTATTTCTTCTTTGAAGTGTACGGTTTAAAAATTCCTGCTATAAAAATATAATTGAAATAAAAGAATCTATTTAGGCACAATGTTACCTATTCCCTTGTTTATTTTCTAAGTTTTAAAAGCGTTTACATGAAAAGCGGTTGCCTGAATAATTAAAATGCAGTGAACTCTTGGGCTTGAACACATTTGATGGCCTGAACTGCCTTTTGAATATTTTTCCCCCCTGAGCCTTTTAAATGTAAACTACAAGTAATAGTGACCCGGAGCAGTGTAATTGAGAGGTCTAACACTCTTACTGCTTGTCAGAAAGTCCTGGTAGCTTAGTTCGGAAAAAACACACTTTCTGGAAGAAGTTAATTGGAGAGTTAGCCGTTTATCAGAAGTGAAAATAAACTGTCATTCACAGCTCACTGGTGTTGGCTCTGAGCTTGTTCCCAGACTCTATTTCCACAGGATGGAAAAGTCTTGCATTGTTCAAAGCTTTGCCCTGGACAGCTGCTGACAGAGCAGGCAGAACTAAGCCATCAAGACCAATCCTATTTCAACGCAATGTTTAAAATCAATCAATGCAAAAAAAAAAGTCCATGATCTTCAAAATACAACATTTTAAATAAAGACAGGGTAACTCTTATGCTAAAGCATCTTATTCAGAGCCCCTTTATTGGAGAAGGGATCTGTATGAGAAGTAATTTTTTTCTTAGTGAAGAGGCAAAACTGTACTAGTTGGAGAATGTGCAAGGATACCCTTTTGCATATTAGTTTTTTTCCAGCTATTTTCTTATCCTTTCTCTAAGGTTAAGTGGGCAGCCAACTCTGTGCTTGGTTGCCTGAGGGAAGTTATTTGGTACAGTGAAAATCAGAAATGTAAGATCCTGTGCCTTTTGTTTTCCCAAACCATAACTCTTGACGTGAATATGGAAGGCTTTCAAAGGAAGTAAAAATGTTGGAGAGAGTTCCATGGTATAGACAAAGTGGCTTAGGCAAAAATATGAAGGGGGAAGGATTTTCCTGGACTTGAAAGATTCTTTTAGGACAGGAGCCTGCAGAGGGATAGGAAAAAAAAACTCCCTACATGACTGAGGTCAATGCCTTTTGCCTGTCTGGTAGGAGTGAGGGCTCAAATAGAAATTGATTGCATTTATTGTAATATAACTGTGTGATATTTCTCAAACACTTTAGTTTGTGAACTAAGGATCATACTTAGGGCTGTCAAATTGTATTTTACCAATATAGAGTTTAACATAATTGTCTCTATTCTTTTTTTTTCTTGAGACTGAGTTTCGCTCTTGTTGCCCAGGCTGGAGTGCAATGGTGTGGTCTCGGCTCACTGCAACCTCCGCCTCCTGGGTTCAGGCAATTCTCCTGCCTCAGCCTCCTGAGTAGCTGGGATTACAGGCACGCGCCACCATGCCCACTAATGTTTTGTATTTTTAGTAGAGACGGGGCTTCACCATGTTGACCAGGATGGTCTCGATCTCTTGACCCCGTGATCCACCCGCCTCGGCCTCCCAAAGTGCTGGGATTACAGGCGTGAGCCACCGCGCCCAAAATACATGATGTATGAGAGCAGGGACTTTGTAAATCTATGCACCATTGTTTCTGGCATAGATTATATGCTGAATTAATGATATGGTAGATAAATGAATTTTAGTGCACGAGATGGTTGTTTAAACAACTCAAGAGTTGTTTAAACTCTTCCGCATAGAAAAACAAGTGTCCAGTGTATATTTTAAAGAATAGTGTGTAATACTTATATATTTCTGTGTATATATGTATACCATAATAACAGTAATAATCATGTTTGATATAACTCATTCAATGAACAAGTCCTTTGAAAGTTATGAAGTGCGCTACATGAGTAAGGTATTTACCATGTTAATATTAATACAATATATTCTTAGACTGGCGCCAAAGTTTATCAGCAATGTATCCTGCAGTAAGCTTGCTGCATTTGGAGAAAACTGGGCTCTAGAAGTGGATGCATCTTTGGAAACACTGTGACAATTATGTGGAAGTGCAGGTAATTTTGATGTCTTTGAAAAATAGGTGATAGTGGTGTGAAGTAAGGGGTAAATTGAGCTAGAAAATAATGAATGGGATTGGAGGACTCTGTTTTGTCTAGAGTCAAGCTGAGCTAAACACCCTGGCACATGACCTGAGTTCTGAAAGACGTTGGCAGATGCAAAAATGAGGCATATTGTTTGTGATTGTTTTCATGCTGTCCCAGTTGTCCTGCTGAATCACTGCCACTATTTTCTGAGCTTCAAGTTAGGGCTGAGACCCTCAGAAGTCTCATCAGTCAACGTCTTCCATGGTCCACAGATACATGAGAGGTTTGGAGCACATAGTCACTGGCTGCATTTTAAAGCAGCAACTTAATGGAGCCTGAAATTTTAAGTTATCGTGGATGGAGATCAGATGGTCTATCTGCTTTGTGGGAATCTGGAGACGGTTGATGAGATGAGTTCTTTGGAAGAATCGTTGCTATATAAATACGAATCAGAGCAAATACAATAATTCTGCCTCCAAAATTGCCTTAGGGGTAGAACAGTGTTCAATAAACATAGTATAATACTGTGACTGGGTTTATAGCTCTTTCCCAAACCTGTTGTATTAAACCCACCTTCATGATTTTTGCTATGAACTTAGGTACTATGTGTATTATTGTTAGCAGATAGTTTTAAAATGAATTCAAGTTATTTTTAATGTTTTTTATCATGGAAAATTTAAAAATATATATAAAAGTAGAAAAATTAGCATACCAAGCCCTCATGTATCCAGAGCAAGCTTCAACAATCAATAACTTGAGGTCAATCCTCAATAACTTGAGGTCAATCAATCCTTGAGGACAATCTCTCCCCATACCCTCTTTCCTCTGCATTTTTTGAAATAAATCTCAGACATCCTATTACTTCACCCATCAATAATTAAAAGTATGTCTCCAAAAAAGAGGGCTCTCTAAAAATTCATAACTATACTGAGGAAACCAGCAGTACTTGTTTTCTGGTCACAACACTGCGGACCTAAACAGGATATGGTCCAGACAGGATAAAGTAAAGAAACCCATGGGAAACAGCAGATGGCTGTTTCACAAAACAAAAGTGATCCCCAGCTGCTTTCATTGCTCATTGACATTAGGCACTCCCGCCAGGCCATGACAGTTTACAAACGTCATGGCAACAACCTGGACGTTACCACCCTTTCCATGACAATAACCTAGAAGTTATTGCCTCTTTCCTAGAAAAATCTTAATAACCTACTCATTTGCATTCACCCACCCCCTAATTTGCATGTAACTGAAAGTGAGTCTGCGTACAAATACAGTTGCCAGGAATCCAGACCTTGCCAGCCCTGGTGCACTGCCGGTGAGGCAGCCATGCTCCACAAGGAGCAGCACCCTTCAATCAAAGATTACTGTCTCACACAACTGGCTTGCTCTTAACTGTTGTTCTTAATTTGAGACCAAGTCTCACTCTGTCATCCAGGCTGGAGTGTGTGGTGGTAAAATCTTGGTTCACTGCAATCTCTGCCTCCTGGGTTTAAGCGATTCTCCTGCTTCAGCCTCCCACTTAGCTGGGGTTACAGCTGCCTGCCACCATGCTGGGCTAAATTTTGTATTTTTAGTAGAGATGGGGTTTCACTATGTTGGCTAGGCTGGTCTCAAACTCCTGATCTCAGGCGAGTCACCTGCCTAAGGCTCCCAAAGTGCTGGGATTATAGGCATGAGCCACCCTTCTTGGCCCTTTCCTGGAGAAAGCTAAGAATTCTTTTGGGCTAAGCCTGGAATTTTTGATGTTGCCTGACCTGCAACAATGCTAGCATTATTACATTAAGAATTGTAGCAATTTTATAATGCTTTGTAATATAAAATATTCAGTCAGTGTGCAAATAGTCCCATAGTCTCTGCAGATTGAATCCAAATTCTGAAATATCTATACATTGCAATTGGTTCATATGTCTCCTAAATTTCTTTATTCCATACATTCTTTCTTTTCTCCTCACAATTTTTTTGTTGCTAATAAATGATGAATTTGACTGGTAGTGATTCCTTTAATCTGAATTTTGCTGACTACTTTCTCAGGTAAAGATGCGTTTCAGTCCCTTACACTTGTAATAATTCAGAAACCCTTCAGCCAAAAACATTTTCCAGGTGGTGTTATGTTATTTTAGAGCAAGTGTATAAAAGAACTCCATTTGATCAATTATTTGATGATCTGTGGTAAAATTATATAGAAAAGGTGAATAAATGCATAATTCCTTTTTCAAATTTACCACTTTTAAAGAATAATGCGTTGCTTTCTTAACATCCATAAAAGATGACCCATGAATGTTTATTATCATCAATTTCATAGATCTAAAGATTTTTGATGTGTTTCAATCCATTGCAATAATAATAATCATCCTCATCATCATCCTCATCATCAAAGGCTCAAATTACTCTATTTTTGATCATTCTGAGCCACTTCTGAATCCTTTTGACATGAACCAATAGTCTTTGATAGCTTCCTTGCCTCTGGTGTAAAGATATTTCAGCTTCACCATGTATATTTGTATTTATCATGTAGATGAAGATGTATATTTATGATGATATATACTACCATGCTCCACTTCTACAAAGAGTCTTGGTTCCTTGGTGTGGGAAAAGGTATTTAGGAAGTGTATTCTGTGTTCTAGAGTTGATCACTGCTACTGGTTTGCTCATTGTTTCCGTACTTTTTTATTGGACATAATGTCAAGGATAAAGTATATCTAGTTTATACCAATATTTCCAGTTGAAATTTGGAACTACAGGTTTTCATTCAGCCTTATTGATCTCAAATGTCTATTTCTCTTCTTCTTTCATGCTGAAAATATCAATTACCAATGACATTAGTACAATAGTGCATTTGCTTTTTTCCATAATACATACAGAACTTTCTCAGAAAATTAAGACTACTACTAACCATATGATTATTAAAGAAAGTAGAAGATTTACTTTTGGGCAATCTTTTTATCTTTAGGATATATATCTCTAAGGATATACGATCAAATTACTGCTTGTAAAGTTCCTTGAGATAGTCTGGCTATGACACCAATTTGAGAGGCAGTTAGGTTCATTTATTTCATTTTGCTGTAGGTTTTTAGGAATTATCTTTTCCCTTTAATTTTTTTTTTTTTTTTTTTTTTTGAGACGGAGTTTCACTCATGTTACCCAGGCTGGAGTGCAATGGCGCGATCTCGGCTCACCGCAACCTCCGCCTCCTGAGTTCAGGCAATTCTCCTGCCTCAGCCTCCTGAGTAGCTGGGATTACAGGCATGCACCACCATGCCCAGCTAATTTTTTGTATTTTTAGTAGAGACGGGGTTTCACCATGTTGACCAGGATGGTCTCGATCTCTTGACCTCGTGATCCACCCGCCTCGGCCTCCCAAAGTGCTGGGATTACAGGCTTGAGCCACCGCGCCCGGCTAATTTTGTATTTTTTAACTTTTTTATTTTGAAATAATCATAGATTCACAGAAATTCACAGATAGGGTAGAGATGTCATAAGTACCCTTTACCCAGTTTCTCTAATGGCTTCATCTTACATTATTTTAGGACAATATCAAAGTCAGAGATTTGAATTTGATAAAACGTGTGTATATAGTTTTATGTTATTTTGTCTATTAAATAGATTTGTGTAATCAACATCACAATCAAGATACAGAACTCTTCCATCCACAAAGATCTCCCTAATGCTACTCTTTTATAAGTATGCCCATGTCCTCCCACTGCCGTGCCTGACTCTGACAACCATCAATCTGTTTTCCATCTCTATAATTCTGTTCATTTCAAGAATGTTATATAAACGGAATTATATATCATATGATATTTTGGAGTGGCCTTAAAAAACAGGATAATGTCCTTGAAATACATTCAAGTTTTGTGTATCAGTAGTTGGTTTCTATTTCTGAATATTATTCCATGATAGGAATGCACCACAGTTTGTTTAACCATTCACCTGCCGAGGTCATTTTGGTTATTTCCAGTTTTTGACTATATGAATAAAGCAGCTATAACCAATAGCGTGCAGGCTTCTTTGTGGACATGAGTTTACATTTCTCTGGAATAAACACTCAATAGTGCAATTCCTGGATTCAATGCTAAGTGCGTGTTTAGTTTTAAAAAGCCTGCCAAATTGTTTCCTGGAGTGGCTGTACAGTTTTAAACTCCTACCGGCAATGTATGAGAGATCCAATTTTTCTGCATCCTCATCAGCATTTGATGTTGTCATTGCTTTTCACTGAACTGCTCTAATAAGTGTATAGCGATATCTCATTTTGTTCTTAATGTGTTTTTCCCCAATGGCTACTGATGATGAACATGTTTTCATGCGCTTATTGACCATCTGCGTATTATCTTTGGTGAGGTACCTATTTATGTCTTTTGCTCATTTTCTAATGGATTGTTTTTGTTTTTGTTGTTGAGCTTTGAGAGTTATAGATATGAACCCTTTGTCATCGATGTAGTTTGAACAGATTTTTTCCCAGTATATAGCTTGCCTTTTCATCCTCTTAACAGAATCTTTCTTAGAGCAAAGCATTTTCATTTTAAGTCTAATTTATTCAGTTTTTGTTTTGGGGATTATGCTTTTGGTGTCATGTCTAAAGATGCTCAACAAAACCCTAGGTCCTAAAGACGTTCTCCTAAGTTAATGTCTAATATTTTTTATGGCTGTACATTTTACACTTAGATATGTGATTAATTTTCAGTTAATTTTTGGATAAGGTATAAAGTGCAGGTAGAGGTTCGTTTTTTAACCGTGGATGTCTAATTACTGTGACTCTATGTGTTGAAAAACCCTGTCCTTCCTTCATTAAACTGCTTTTATACCTTTGTAAAAAATCAGTTGGTTATAGTGCATGGCTTTATTTCTGAGTTTTCTATTCTGTTCAATTAATCTTTGTGGATCAAATGATCCTCAGCCAACACCCCGCTGTTTGATTGCTGTGACTACATAAGTCTTTAAGTCATGGATAGTGACTACTCACACTTTATTTTTCTTTCTTCAGAATTGTTTAAGCTCTTCTAGTTAATTTTCTCTGCTATATAAATTTTAGAATAGGCCCAGCATGGTGATGAACACCTGTAATGCAGCACTTTGGGAGGCAAGCTCAAGAGTTCAAGACCAGCCTGGGCAACATAGCAAAACCCATCTCCAAAAACAAACAAACAAACAAAAAAACAAAAAAACCAAGAAAACTAAAAGATTAGCCAGACGTGGTTGGGCAAGCCTATATTCTCAGCTAGTTGGGAGGCTGATGTGTGAGGATCGCTTGAGTCTGGGAGGTTGAGGCTGCAGTGAGTCGAGATTGCACCAATCGCACTTTCGCCTAGGCAACAGAGTAAAACCATGTCTCAAAAAACTTTTTTAAAAGTGTAATCTTGTCGATGTCTCCATAAAAATCTTGCTAGTATTTTGACAGATGTTGTCTTAAACTAGTATTTCATGGAACTGATGTCTTTAAGTCACACAGTCAATATGGTATGCCTCTCCACTTATTTAGATCTTCTCTTTTGTTAGTTTTCAGCATAACAGTTCTGAATGTGTTTTATTATAT